TTTCGGCTAGATGTTCAGCTATGCCGAAAGAATGAGATTCCACATGGCCGAAATTGCAGCCGAAAACAGTTGTTTCGGGTCAAGCCAAAATGACAGCTGAAAATTGTTGTTTCGGTTGGAGCCGAGAGTATGGCTGAAAGTATGACTTTCGGGGCAGCTGAAAATCAGCGGCAGTGGGCGGCCGCTCACTGCAGAAGCGGCCAGCTGTGGCAGTGCAGCGGCCGCACTGCTGAGAGGTCACTGCTTTTCCCCTTATTTTATTTCATTTCCTTTTTTTATTTGGCTCCTCCAGAATATCTGGTCTGTTTTAAAGACATGGCTCTACTCATACAATATAAAAATTCCAAATATCCCACTCAATGAATGGTGACACAAATGACCTGTTGGATTTGGAGTGGCAGTGCACAGCTGTGCGAGCTGTTGCGAGCTCGACATCCGGCGCTGATTGGGTGCTGACATGCTGTTGGAATAGCTGTTGAAGATAGTCAGAGTTACTCACTCAGAGTAACTACTGTTATGATACAACATAGCTTTAGGTACAGCCCAGATAGGATACATAGTATAAAGTAGCATACTTACAAGCATGTACACTACCGGATTACAACGAGATTCCCCACTCTACTCGCTTGTGACGTTCCCTCGGGGCTTATTTCAACATGACCTACGGCTGCTGAGCGGCCACTGCACTGCCACAGTTGGCCGCGGCCGCCCACTGCCACTGATTTTCAGCTGCCCCGAAAGTCATACTTTCAGCCACACTCTCGGCTCCAACCGAAACAACAATTTTCAGCTGTCATTTTGGCTTGACCCGAAGCAACTGTTTTCGGCTGCAATTTCGGCCATGCGGAATCTCATTCTTTCGGCATAGCTGAACATCTAGCCGAAACCAATGCTTTCAGCTACAGCTTCGGCAACACCAAAATTGTTGTTTTCAGGCAAGCTGAATTTGTTGCCCATTAAATAGATTTCAGTCTCACTTTCAAACATTCAAAATTTGCTCCCGAAATGAACACATTCAACCCAGCAGAATGTGCTGCTGAATCCCTTTATTTAGGTAACTTATTATGCTTTCCTGAATATGTTTTTTTCAAGTACATTTTCAACCTCATTTCTTTTGAAGCCCAAACTTCTACTTTCGGCAACATGTTCAGCCGACCTGAATTTTCACTTTCGCCGGTGTGTAGCCGTAAGCGAAGAGATGGGAAATTCAAACTCCAATCATACCATATTGGGTTACCACCGGCACACGTGCCCTTACCAAATCTACCCCTATCAAGCAGTATCTTTATCGATCTCGTCCGTTCCTCGTCTCGCACTCATGCCCGCTCAGTCCAAGGTTCAGAAACCTCCAGCTAAGGAGCCTGACCCTCCCAAGACGTACAAACCACTCCGAAAATACAAGCCAGAAGAGATAGATCTGGATGTCTTGGTCAAGCGCGCGCACGAGGTTCTGTGCGCAAAGCCCTTTCGGTTTCAGCTCGAGGTTGCTGCCGCCATTCTGCGGGGAGAGGATGTGATCATTGATGTTGTGACTGGGTGTGGGAAGACCCTGTGCTTCTCCTTGCCCTTGCTATTGGATGCAGACGACATTTCAATGATTGTCTCTCCACTCAGTGCGCTTATGATAGACCAGGTGAGTTTTACTGTACATCTTGCTAACTGGTCTAGGGTTTGATCTCCCTTAGGCCGCATCTTCCAAAATTCCGACCGTTGCTGTCTGCAGTGAGACATTGGCTCTTGTGGGAGCAGAAAAGGTATACGAGGTATGGATGACAGTGCCGCCCTCAGATTATAGCTGATACTGTTTTTGACCCCGTACTTGGCCACCTAAGCATTCATGCTTCGCTATCAGCCTTTGGCATCATACTACGCGCGCGGAACCGCGTCAGATGAAAGGCAGGCATCCTACGAAGAGTTTAAGCCCACTTCCACCCAAATACATGAAGATCTGCCTTCGCAGTGAATTCTTTTTGGAAGGCAGTACAACAAGCCCAAATAACAGGCTAGTTGGCCACCTCCCCAAGCCAAGCTTTGAAGAACTCGGCGACCGGAGCCATCGGGAATCGTAACTAGGGTATATATCCACAATTAGAACTTATCTCAGTCTACATGCGACCCATATTCGGGGTGTACACAAGTGCTCTTCGGATGGGGGAAAAGCCCGAACTGAGGGTGCTGGAGCAATGGCGTGTCTAGCGAAGGATGGAACGATGCTGCAGCTCAAATTGGGCTTCAAACAGTGTGAAAGAAGGCTATACAACATATTTGCATTGATAACTTCATACCCAAGTGCTCCCAGCTCCCCAAAAAAATCCCTCTGTTGGCAGGATCAAAATTGTGTGGTTTGCGGCAAAGCATTGCACTGAGAGGGGAGCTGAGCAGCTAAAATTTCGAAGTGCATCCTAAGTTGAAGTATTGGATTCCAAACGACCTCATGCCAAGTTCCAGATCAGTAGCCCCACAGTTTCATCTTATACGACGTCTGCCAGTATGAGTCCCTCAAAAAAAGGAGTGGTACCTTCACCCGAGGATAGCAAAAGATTTTCTGGCCTAAACACGGTAAAAATAGTGGAAAATGATCCGCCCAGATCAGGGGAACAGAACAAGTCCACAAACTCCTGGAATGGCGAAGAATTGGTCGAAAGGGAGCTGAGCCCAGACCTCTGAGCCGCGTCGGCAATAAGAAAACAATGTTCACACGTTTCGGAGCCTGATCCGACATGTCGTAACTTTCCATCAACTCATCACTTGGACTCCAAATTCGGTTCAGGCCTTCGTTATGGGTCCTACTCTCATCCCTCATAATGCCAGTTTATGAACATTGTGTCTCCGGATGCTAGCCACCAAATGGCCAACTAGGGGGGGTGGCCAAGTACGGGGTCCACAATAGTAACCAAGATCAGAGGAACTTCAACCTGTCTCAGTGTCCGGGATCAAAGATCATCTCTCATTCAACACCTGCCTCAATACGGACCGCTGCACCGCGGTGCAGTCTGTAGGCCATGTGCTGTAATACCCAGAGGTAAGTGAGAGGGGATCCTGCTGCACTCATGTCATGTATCCTTTCCAGGTATCGAGGGCAGTCGGAGCAGTCAATTGAGGAACTTCCTGTTGATCTTTGTTGACCGAGATGCCCGAGAATGACCGTATCTGGACATTGAACCCGAACCAGGGCATAGCATTCATAAGTGCAATGTGTGCACCAAGATGCAGTTGGATAGAATCACATTGTCGAATTTTGCCAGTGGGCAACTAGGATCAAACAAATTTAAGTTCAGAATTTGAGCTCAAAGCTCAGTGCTCAGAACTTGTTGCTCAACTCCCCTATACTCAGGGATACTGGAGAGGGGTTTACTCGTATCCATTGGATTCAACTTGCCTCTGCTTCCTGGCTCTGATGGAACAAGCTTTTCTGATCTTTCACAATCAGAACCATATAACATAGCTCAGGCCTGGTCCAAAATCCATAATCCATTAAGGCAGAAATCTCAGATGAGCCAAGTCCATCTGGATCTAACAAGGCAAACAGGACAGGTAGGGTTACATTAGCTTGCCCATGACTCTATAATATAACCTTTCTGGATATCAAGCTTTCCTACCTCCTGCTTCAGTTGAACATCAAGTTCAGTACATCTAAAGGAATAAATATGAGTACGAATTATTTGCCCAATTTTTGTGAGGGACACTCGAAAAATTGATTTTCGCGCGCGCGGGACTCAAGTTTTGCGCGCGCGGGGTTGGCTTTATTTAGGGCGGAACATGCCGTCCGCGCAAAACGAATTGATGTCAGCAAGACCTCTGTTTTTGGGGCGGGACTACCAAAATTGGAGAGTTTTTGGGGCGGAAGTCTATTTTTGTGGGGCGGGAATAAAAGTGCATCCGGACCGCCATACAGAATGGCTTGTACACGTGACACAAGCCGGCGGAATGGCTTGCGTGAATATCTCATGAAGAATTCAACAATTCATTCTGATTAAATTGGTAAATGACACAGTGCACCGGGGCGTACACTTTGGTACCCGTATCAAAGCCAAGGAGCTGCAGGAAACTGTCACCACAAGCCAAACAAGCCTGGTTGAAATACGCGAGCACCGCCACCGAGCGGAATGGCTTGTGTCGAGCATGCATGCAGATATGGGAGGAAATTTATGAAACATTGGTGGATAATTCGAAATAGAGCGTATAATGGAATTCTGTAAAAAGCCCGGATGGAATGATCCGAGGGGATTTAATTTCCATTACAATTAAAGATCTAGTATTTCGACGTCGCACCCTCGCGCATGGCCGCCGGGGTGTGCTTGGGCATCGCGGGTGGTTCATCTGTAATTTCGTTGTTAGATCTGTGAATGTTACATTGGCCACTGAGTGAGAAAATGGTTGCCTGGACACATCGAAATAGCATGAAGAGACATGAATCGTCTTCCATATTCAAATGTCATGGCCATGATTAATCACGGCGACGTGGGACATTCGGGATGTTCCGAACTTAAGAGAGGAGGAAGGGGACGATGGTGGCACACGAATGTGGAGGAATGGAAGAAATACCTACTGGGTAGTGTAGCTGAGGACAAGCCAAGCTGTCCAAGCCCGCCCCGCAAGCCATTTGGCCAAGCCACTCGACCAACTCTGACAGAAGAGGGGTGAATATACAGTACGAACTCGCCGCAGACCGGGTTTGAATGCTCGAAACAAGATTCATGTCGCCGAACACTGCTTGATCGCTGATCACGACGATGAGGATGGCCGGGGGATCCCGAGATTAATGCGGAAGAGTAGAAATGATTTCAATGGACTGGGGGATAGTTATGAAAGAAATACTCACAGTGAGGATTGCTGGTGTAGCCGAGCACAAGCCCAAGCCCTCACAAGCCCAAGCCGCCCAAGCCCGCCCCAGCCAATTTAAACTCCGCTAAGCGGGGCAAGCCATTCGGCCAAGCCACTCGGCTAACTCTGCCTAATTTCCAAGTATTATATCACCGAGTTCTAGTCAGGCACAGAAAGGCCCGGTAGCGGACGGTCCGCATCTGCATTCCATTATGGAACAACGTGAAATTCGAGCAGGGACGCCCATTCGATTCGGGCCCGGGCCATAACAGTGCGGACCACGACACTTTTTCCTGTCCACGAAGAGATACACGCCACACGGATGGTTGCCGTCAGATGCTTACCTGGTCGGGCTCCGTTTTTTCATCTTGACTCTCACAGTCGAGGTAGTGACACAGGGGGCAAACATGATGGCAGTTGTCATACCAGCATCCGCTGGGCATCAGACAGGCATCGGACAGGCATGTGTTCGACATGTGTCAGGCATGTGGCAGGTAATTTCTCACCTGCCTGCCATGCAGTGGGAATGTTTGAGAACAAAACTAGTGTAAGGCTATTGGTGGTCCTCTTTGTCATGGTTAGTATAGTAAAGTGGTTAATGGTGTTGTTTGTCATTGTTTTGTCCATTTTCATTGGGTCTGGGTTCAACCCCCGCACTGTCCATTTTTTTCGGTTTTCCCAGCAGAGTTCGTCACGTCAAATTGATGCAGGCTTGCACATCTGAAGACCCTTCTATGGTATCCTTCTTAATATTTTGAACCAAGATAAAAAGCCAGAAAGTGTGGTATCATTGTGCACATTGGGTCTAAATTTGAATTTGCACTGTCACATTTTTCTCTTTCCTCCTGTCCTCTTTCCTCCCGGAGTTTTCCGGGATTGTTTTCCATACATCCTGTCTATGAATGTATGAAATAACTAAGGGATTCAGAGAGTGCAGGATATCAAGAAAGGGTCCGGCAACCCATCAAAGTCAGTGATTCTCACAAAGTTGTCAATGCTCTGGCCTTGCACCTCATCCCAACTTCCAGGAAAAATTGAGGGGCCTTTTGTACTTATTGAAGCCGAGAGCAAAGAAGACGAGAGGAAAGAGAAAAATGTGAAATTCACACCAGTGTGCAAATTCAAATGTTCAAATATTATCTATCAACAAGCTCCCAGGGATAACCGATTTCGAATCACCCGCAGAAATGCCCGGTAGCGGACGGTCCGCACTTGCATTCCATGAAAAGGGCGCCAGGAATTCTGGCAAGGACGCTCGTTCGACTCGGGCCCGGGCCATCAGATGGGCGAACGTTTTTCTATTTTCTTCCGCTCTTTATCACCGAGTTCAAATCAGAGACAGAAAGGCCCAGTAGAGGACGGCCCGCACCTGCATTGCATCAGTATCATCTACTTTCAAGTCAAGCAGGAACGCCCGTTCGACTCGGGCCCGGGCCATAGGGCTCTACGCAACGTGCCACTTTTTCCTGTGCACCGACAGTTTTCTCATCTTCGCTCTCACAGTCAAGGTAGCAATAAAGAGCGAACATACGCCGAAATGAGCAACAGGCGAAGAGCCGATGTTCAACTATCTATCATCTATCAACAAAATATAAACTCCCAGGTATAATCGAGTTTGAATCGACCACAAAATAGCCCGGTAGCGGGAGGTCCCCCCACCCCCCCCCCCCCCCTGCATTCCATAAATGATCTGTTAAACGAAATTCAGGCAGGAACGCCCGGTCGACTCGGGCCCGGGCCATGGTGGGCTGGATTACTTTTTTTTTGCCATCGCCCGTTTTGTTTGTTGAAGTCTGATATCTCCTCTCAATCGTGACCACGGTTGTATCATAACCAATCCTCGACTATCATCCATGACGTCGACCTTTCGGCTATCTATCAGCTAACTCTTGGGTATAACAAAGTTTAAAGCTGGTACGGAAAGGCCCAGTACGCACTTGCATTCCATGAAAAGGGCGCCAGGAATTCTGGCAGGGACGCCCGTTCGACTCGGGCCCGGGCCATATGTCTTTCGCCTGTCGTCCCCTTTTCCTGTTTATCCTTTTTTGGGGTTTTTTTCCTTGTGCTTTTCTTCCTTTGCTTCTCTCTGCCTTTTTTTGCTGGCTCTACTGGAAATGCACTGTGCTACCATTACTGCGACGGGGCGGCGGAATGTAGGGACCACGCAACTTGCTCTAAAGCAGTGAGGTTTGAATCGTCCACGGAAAGGCCCGGGAGCGGACGGTTCGCATCTCATCTGCTTGCACGTTCTCGCAGTTACACAGGAGCGCCCGTTCGACGCGGGCCCGGGCCATCGCTGGTACCAACGACCTTTTTCCCCTTTTCAATATATTCAGGGAGGCGTAAGACGCTCAATAAAAATGGGAGCGTTGATTTCTGGTGCACTTGTGCACTTGGACTTGGACGCAGGGAGTCGGCCCGGCCCCGCACCTGAGGGTCGGCCGACGCGACTTTTGGGGGGTCAACTCATGGGGATAGCCAGGTTCAAACCATGCACAGGAAGGCCCTGCAGCGGACGGTCCGCACCTGCACTACATGATCCGGACAACGTGAACTTCGAGCAGGAACGCCCGTTCGACTCGGGCCCGGGCCATAACATTGCGTTCCATGATACTTTTCCCTGTGCCCCGACACTTTTTCCGAATTCATCTTTGCTCTCACAGTCAAGTTAGTAATAAAGAGCGAAAACAACGCGCATATACGCCGATGACTGCGGACCGAAATGACCAGTCCACAGGCGAAGAGCCGATGTTCAACTACTATCTATCAACAAACTCCCAGGGATAACTGAGTTCGAATTAACCATAGAAAGACCCGGTAGGCGGACGGTCCGCATCTGCATTCAATTATGGGACACAACGTGAAATTCGAGCAGGGACGCCCGTTCGACTCGGGCCCGGGCCATCAGATGGGCGAACGTTTTTCTGTTTTCTTCCGCTCTTGTAAGTAGTCTAGTCTACACGACTCTGAGCGCGCGGACCAGATGAAATGCTGCATCCATCCGATCAGGTAGGACTCCAACTAACTCCCCGTCCCAGGTATAACCGAGTTCGAATTAACCACAGAAAGGCCCGGTAGCGGAGGGTCCGCACCTGCGTTCCATAAATCATCTACCTCCAAGTATAAGCAGCAACACCCGTTCGACTCGGGCCCGGGCCATAACATTGCGTTCCATGACACTAGTACTTTGTCCTGTGCCTCGACACTTTTTTCGAATTCATCTTTGCTCTCACAGTCGAGGGAGTAAGTAATAAAGAGCGAAAACAACGCTCATATACGCAGATGAATGCGGACCGAAATGAGCAGTCCACAGGAGAACGTTTTGTTCAGAGCCGATCTTCAACTATCTATCATCTATCAACAAAATATAAACTCCCAGGTATAATTGAGCTCGAATCAACCACAAAATAGCCCGGTAGCGGGAGGTGCCCCCCCTGCATTCCATAAATGATCTGTTTAGCGAAATTCAGGCAGGGACGCCCGTTCGCCTCGGGCCCGGGCCATGGTGAGCTGGATTCCTTTTTTTGCCATCGGTTCGCACCCATTTTGTTTGTTGAAGTCTGATATCTCTTCTCAATCGTGACCACGGTTGTATCATAACCAATCCTCGACTATAATCCACGAGCTTTCGGCTATCTATCAGCTAACTCCTGGGTATAAGCAAGGTCGAATCTGCAAGGGAAAGGCCCCGCACCTCATCTCGTCTGCTTGCACGTTCTCGCATCTACGCAGAGACGCCCGTTCGACTCGGGCCCGGCCATAAGCTCGAGGTCTACGAGACTTTTTCTTGTCAATATGTTCAGACCTTTTTTTTTCGTTCGAGACACGACACGCTGGACTCTGCGCGCGCACTAGCATCCGATCTGGTAGGACTCCAACCAATTCCCAAGTATAATATCACCGAGTTCAAATCAACCACAGAAAGGCCCAGTAGAGGACGGTTCGCACCTGCATTCCATCAGTATCATCCACGTTGAAGTCAAACAGGAACGCCCGTTCGACTCGGGCCTGGCCATAACAGTGGGGGCCACGCCCCTTTTTCCTGTGCCCCGGTAGTTTTTTCATCTGTACTCTCACAGTCAAGAGCGCAAACAACGCTCATGTACGCCGGACCGAAATAAGCAGTCCGCAGGCGATGAGCCGATGTTCAACTACTATCTATCAACAGGCTCCCATGGATCACCGATTTCGAATCAACCACCGAAAAGCCCGGGAGCGGACGGTCCGCACCGCATTCCATAAACAGTGGGTTAGGAATTCTAGCAGGGACGCCCATTCGACTCGGGCCCGGTGATAAGCATGGAAAATGACCAGACTTGAAATCTATTAATTTCAATGTTCTTGTTCTACTTACTGAAGTAGAACAATGCTTATTTAATACTTTGCCCACAATGAGAGCCATAGTGAGGTCCGGACTGTTGGCTAAAGGCACTCCATGTATTTACATGTAATTCCACGTTCAACCATTCGATCGAATTGGGACGTTGGGAAAGTGTCATATATCAAGGACATAACACATACCATCCATCTAGACTGTGAATTCATAAGGGATCCGGATTGCAGGTCAAATCAAATCGGCAGAGTTGTTGGTGCAGTTGCAAGCACAAGTTCGACATTTGTGATATATAAAGTCACTGTAACTTAAATCACATGAGCCTGTATGCCTCGGAGGGCTCAGGAATTGTTCAGGGACATTCAGTGAAACCATCAGGATCAACAGCCTGCTGTGTATTTACGCGTAAATCATCAAAGATTGTATTTACATGTAAATCAAAGTCCAACCACTCGGTTGAACTGGGGCACCATGGGAATAGTTGGGTGACAAAGGTGTCATCAGGCAGAGATACAGGACAGCCAGTCTATCTATAAGGCTAAGCTGGTTGGCCCGGATAATCTCTACCACAATTTATCCGGACACACTATACTTGGCACGTCTAAGAGTGCGTTCAGATGATCCTGAAACCTCAGGATCAGGATCAGGATGCAGGATCAGCAACCCGGTCCGGTCGCCAGTCACCAGTCACACCATGTAACACCTTGACACGCAGTTGTGGTAGTTTCCTTAGTGGTGGGCGAGTTCTTGCACCTTCTGCTCCAGAAGAAATCCCAGAGCTATATGAGTACATTGTCTATTATCTTATGCAAAATTTTGGCACCCCGTTCCCTACATCGGTCGTAACAAATCAAAAGGTGCATTTTGTGAACCTTGCCGAAGCACCGCCTCGCTACCACATCAAAATCACTCTTGGAGTACGAATATCTTTGT